AACGCTTCAGATCTGCTGTAAACAGTTCACCTCGACTCACCTCTCTCTCCTCCACCTGCAGCGATCAGGCGGAGGCTCGCCGCTCCAAGACAAAGGAGGCCCGCAAGCGCAGAGAGGAGCGCCTCCAGGCCAAGAAAGAGGAGATCATCAAGAACTTGTCCAAAGAGGAGGAGACAAAGAAGTAAAACCAGGTTCTTTTTGTTCTGCCTGTCGAGTGCTGACAATAAAAGTGTACATAAAGACAACCAAGGATTCCTGGTTTTACTTTTATTATTTTAAGAGGCGTTCTTAAGGTTGAGTAAATCTGTTGGTTTAAACTATAACAGTAATAATTAATAGTGACTATTGAAAGGAATGTAATGGATCATTTAGTTTATTATTGTTGGCGTTTAGTGACATTTGTCACTTACCGGTAAATGCTTTCTCACAGGTAAATATTAAAACCAGTGATGGTTTAATAATTTCAAGACTTTTTTTTAGCAAATTGAATAACAAACTTTTTAACGTGAAAATTGTTAATATTTTCTACTAGTTGCAGCTAATTGCAGGGATCAGTGTCTATACCTGAGTGTTTAAAATAAATTTCCAGAATTTCACTCTAAATATTACAACCTGAGGAAATACCAGCTTGTATTCATTTGTGTTGTAATTTTTCAGTCTGTAGCACTTATGGTGCACACAATATTTGTTACAGAAACTAATATACTAGCTAATTCAATATGTAACTGATTTAATCAACTGTATTGGCTAATTTTAAACTGTTAGGTTTTTAGCTTCACTTCAGGTCAGATCACAAAGGCCTGTTGTCACGATGAATTTTACTGGATGATAAATTGTCTCAAATTCTTGCTATAAATTATATTGTTGGAGACCAGTTTAAACTAATGTATGAAYGCGTCAGAAAACTGAAGACGCTCCTCTGGATAAAGGCCTGTTCAAATGCCTGACACCAGAGTTAACTCCTCGCTACGCCAAGAAGTAAAAAAAAAAAAGCCAGCCAAATGAAAATTACTGTCTTCATTTTAATTTATCTTAAGATTAATTATTTGTTTGTGACCCTAATCACATCCACATTAAACTAAAGATAAACTTGTGAAATTAGACATTTCCCTGTTTTTACTCTTTTTYCATCCAAATCATGCACAGCTTTCTGACATTTTTATTTATTTTCACATAGTCAGCCCTTGGAACTCTAGTTGTCTTATATGACAGTGATTTTTAACTGATAACAGACCAAAAATGATTGGGATCATTCTATATCTTTACCCAAAGGAAAAAAAAGTATGATCATTGCAAATGGAACACATGTAAAAATAAAATAAATAACTGGTCCAAGTACAGAACCCTGAGGAACTCCACATTATGTTACAGAGTTCAGATCTTACATAATTTATTTTGTACAAACTGTTTTTATCCTTCATATATAT